ATAAAGATGCTTTAAATAGCACCATAGAAGCTCGACGCAAAGCATAGCAAGAAGGTGGAAGATTTCAAGAACACGACAAAGCCCTATCATCGTAGTACTTAGAAAATGCGGGGAGAGTGAGGGTGAAACGTCCTAATGCCTAGAGAAGGTAAATAGCCTATAAAATTTTCTACAAACAACACTTAAGGTCAAGTGGTTATATAAATATGAGGCGAAGTAAGTTTTGCGCTAGCCTACTAAAATACAAACCACTTATCCACAATACTAGTTTCCATAGTCTCTATGTCACACACAAGGCTAGGTCACTACCACTAAGTTAGTGAGCTCTCAAAGACTAACTAAAGAGCCTCACTAACCAAACTAGACAAGACACAGGCTAGCTCTCAAAACTAGTTACACTAAAGAGCTTAACTGCAATAGGAAAGTAAATACACAAGAGAGGTAGCGAGTTATATCGCCATGGCAAGAGATGATCAATCAATCACAAGAAATTTCAGAGACAATGATGATACAATGATTTTTTCTCCGAGGTTCACTTGCTTACCAGCAAGCTAGTCCCCGTTGTAGCGATTCACCCACTTGGGAGGTTCACGCGCTAATAGGCATCACACGCATAACCCACAATCGGGTGCCGCACAACCAACTCAGGATGGGGATCCACAAGCTACGGGCAATCTACTAGAGTATCTTTTACCTCTCCGCTGGGAAAGGTCAAGAACCCTCGCAATCACCACCATCGGAGCCGGACACAATCACCTTCCTCCGCTCGATGATCCTCGCTGCACCAAGTCTGTCTAGGTGGCGGCAACCACCAAGAGTAATAAGCAAAATCTACAGCGAAACACAATCACCAAGTGTCTCTAGATGCAATCACTCAAAGCAATGCACTTGGATGCTCTCTAATCTCACCAAATGGTGAATCAATCAAGTATGAGTGGATGGAGAGAAGTAGCTCAGCTCTAAGGGATGAAAAGTATGTCAAAGTGCTAAGAGAGGGCGACCAAGGCCGGCCCTTTCACATAAATAGACATCCCAAAGAGCAAATAGCCATTGGGTCAAATAAGTGACCGTCGGACTTTGAAACACGGGGCGTTGGACCGCCCGACGCTCGGTTCGACGCCCTGTCGCGTCCACTCTCGCACTGCCACGCCTTTCGTTTGAAAGGAATCGACTGTTACGCGCCAACGGTCGCCTGCCATGCACTGATCACCACCGTCGGACCGAGCTGAGCGCTACCGTCGGACCAGCCAACGCTCAGGGTCCGACATCGGCGAAAACTACACCGAGCGGTCTAGAAACATGAAAAACCGTCGGACGCCGGCCAGACGCTCACCGCCGGACCCAGAGCGCGGTCCGTCATCACCACGTGTCGCGCCAGCGCACGTCTCGCTATCTCCCGCGCGAAGGAACAGTGTGCACGTATGGTCCGATGCCTCCGGTTGGCTCGGTTCGACGTCGCCTCGCCTGAGCCACTGCGCTAGGGTTGACCGTCAGATCAAAGCTGGCAGGGTCCGATGCCTCCTGAGCCAGGGTATGACGCCCTTGTCTCCACTCTATTCAAGCGCAATCACTTCACCCTTGTGCATGTGTGCCAACTCCAAGTATTGCACCACATGTGTACATGAGTTAGCAACAATCTAAGCCAAATCCCAAGGGTGTTTTATCACTCACTAGAATCTAAATGCATATGTAATGAATTAGAACATCTAGTGGCACTTTTATAACCGAATTTCACGACGAGTTTCACCCCTCTTAATAGTACGGCTATCTATCCTAAATGTGATCACACCCACTAGGTGTCTTGATCACCAAAACAAAGAGCTCCTATCAAATATACCTTTTTTTGAATTTCCTCAAATATACATTTGCCTTGAGTATTTTGTTTTTCTCTTTTTTCTTTTCCAAGCCCGAGCACTTGATCATCACCATGGCCATCACCCCCATCATGATCTTCATTCATTTGCTCCTCCACTTGGAATGTGTACTAACCTATCTCATGATCACTTAGAACAAAGGTTAGCACATAGGGTTTCATCAATTCACCAAAACCAAGCTAGAGCTTTCAGAGGAGAATTCTAGGAAGAGCCGTGGTTATCGATCCTTATCCAACTTGTATCTCAAAGGATGTAGCTCTGTTTCATGTAAACATTTGGGACATTTATTTGGTAACTTCATTACTTTGGTTCATTAAGTTTAGTTCTTACTTTTTTTGTTCACAAATTCACCGTTTGTATTGAGTGCTCTAATCTATCACATGGATTGGGATTATTGTACTAAACTATCGTATAAATGTGGTGTCAAGATTATAATTTATCTCTGTTTGAGGCATGTCCTATGAATTATTGTGGTAGTTACTAAGTGTTGACAGACATGTTTGACTTATGTATTCCACCATATTTGGGAAGGTACTTAAAGCATATGGCCTTTATGTTGAGACCGCTTAACACCCTTCTCATCCCTTTACGCTGCTAGGTTGGTGAAATGGATCTTTGGATGACTAGAGAGAGATGGATAGTCTAATTAAAAATATATATATAAGGCACAACATAGGCAAACTTGTTAGAAACAAATGAGGCCCTAGTAAGCACTACTTCTAATTATGTCTTGCAAACCTACATCTCTACACTAGGAATTGTAAGAACATAATGTAAAGCACAAGTGTAGAGTGATGAAACCACACAAGAGGATGACACAAGATATATCTCCGTTGGTCGGTGATTTGTCGGTCACATACGTCCACGTTGAGGCAAGCCAAGGATCATCGCTCCTCTACAAACTCAACAACCCCTCAAGGTTGGCTCCAACGTGAACACTTGTCCATAGCCTAATGAATCACAATGTGCATCTCCAAGCCCCAGTTCCACTAAAGTTGTTGTTTGCCAACTCCAGCAAGGATGGGCACAAGAGCTCCGCACAATCATCTTTGGAGCACCTCATAATCTTCAATTGAGTGCCTCAACGGAGTCACCAATGCTCCAGCCATCTATGCATTACGAAAACCACCAAGAGTAATAAGAAAACTACAGCGAACAGATCACCTAGTGTCTAGTGCTACAATATGCTATCTCTCAAAGCAAATGCACTAGATCACTCCAATTTCATAGAGAATGCAATCACTAGCAAGAAAATGCATATAGGATCGACTGTCACAAACTACTCCTAGGCTTAGAAGCACTAATATGAGGAGGAGATCATTGAGGAGTACGAAGAGGAGATTCCTGGTGAGTCGCACTCGAAGTTGCTACTGACCTAACCACGCACCTTGAGTATACCCATGGCAAGCCTTGGTGCATCCCATTTGATGTTTAGGGCAAGTGATGTAGGCTAGTTGATAGGACTGTCTAGGTTGCAAAACTCTTTGTGGGTTTGGGTCAATAGAGCACACTAGAACTAGTTTAATATTTTTTCTATTGTAGATCAAGAAAAGCCATAGGATTGGTTTTAGAGACCCAATTCATCCCCCTCCTTTCGGGTCTCCATGTCCAAGGATGACACATGTGTGTGCCAATGACCCATGCCAATGATCGATAGGTGAACATGTTTTCATTATCGCCCATATTTTGGCGTGGTTGACAGAGATGCCACTTGATCGTGGATGTCACGGGGAGGCAAGGGCAACAGGTAAGTACTTTGGATTGGCAACAAGTTCAATGAGCTTGTTGGATAACTTTGTGGATGGTCTTCGACAACGCTTGTTCTTCTGAGTCCAAGTCGATGAAGCTGGCCTGGATGGCAGAGAGGACTTGTGCTCTCCACAAGGCATCTGGTCCTATAAGCTTTCTTTGGGATTTTATAGCTTGGAGCAACAATAATAAGTTACCATGAGCAAGTTTATAGAACAAATGTTTGGTCCTGGTTATCATGTGAGAGGTGGTGTAATACAAATAGCCATTCCCAGCGCTCCATATCAACATCGCTAGAAACAACCCATAGGCGTTTGCTTGACTTACAAGAAAGAACAAATACAAATCTAGCCTACAAACATGGAGCCGTGATAAGTGAAACTGCAAACCAAGAAGACAAATTTACCAAGGGACAAACCACAACACTTCACAACAAATTAACTGCAATCTAGTGTCAAATTTTACCACAACACCAAACTAACACAGACAAAAAAAATTAATGTAATGGGAGTAAGTTATTTTAGGGCAATTTACCATGCTTTAGTGCAACTGCAAAAGTGAACTGTACTGCAATTTACTGTCAACTTTACTGCAATTGCTACCCATGATTTGCAGGCAATTTTAGTTGTTTTTTCCTTAAAAAGTAGGGAAATTATGGCATGGTGTGATGTCAATATTGCTGTAAAACCAGTCGCCGTCAATTTCATGATAGGTGTAACAATGAAAGCTAAACTGATTGTTCTAGGCAGTGCAATGTGTAAACAAAGGTGTCTGCTTGGACATGCAATGCAACGGACACAAACGTCAAAAGAATTGGGCGAGTTTAACGCGATCCCATGAAGAAAAGCACAAGTAAACAAAATGAGAGTCAGCACTCAGCAGGCCATCTACACATGTCGCTTTCCGTCCTATCTGTCGATCCATCTCTTTGATTTCTCCTCCTTCTGCAGCTCTAGTTTCTTCCATCTAAAAGGTCATAAATTCTTTCACTACGGGAGGATGAAACTAAAAACTCTTTTGATATTCAAAACAAATACTCGACTGATGCTTGCCAGACAGTATAGATTTGTCTAGTCCCATTGGACTGCCAGAAGTGGTTTTTGGTGCCACAGAGTGTGCTACTTTTCCAGGAACAAAACACCATACCAAGGACAGCATAAAGACTTGCCACAAAACATATTTAACTCAGTAGTAACCGGGAAATAGTATATTGCATTTCAGAAGATTTGAATCGGTAAAAGAGTTATTTGTTCTCTGAAGAACGGAGACATGAATCAAAATACAGAACCGGACTGTAGAAACAGAGCCCCAAAAGAATTTCGGCTGGTGTCAGGGAAAGACAACCACTGCAGATACCCAATAACACAACTGACATTCTTATTCCTCGTCATCCTCCTCGTCGTGGAAGCGCAGGTGCCTCCCCTCCGGCACCGGCAGCGCCCTGAGCATCAACGCGCCAAGCTCCGCCCTCGCCTCAGCTGCGTCCGCCACCTCCTCGCACTCGATCTCGTCGTCACTGTTGTAGATGAACCTGGTGTGCTTCCCCTCGAACTGCGACAGCCCGGCCTTCTTCTCCTCTTCACCCAACACGGTCATCCTGCTCATCTCCTCGCACAGATCATCGTAGCAGTCGTCGTCGCTGTCTTCTTCCCAGTCCTCCTCCTCCTCCTCTTCTTCGGTGTACTCTGCCGCCGCCAGCTTCTCCACGCCCAGCTCTTCTTCGTCGCCCTTCTCGGAGCTGGCATGGACCTGAATGGACCAGGCAGAGGAGCTGTCGTCCTCAGGTGATGATGACGACTTGTCCATGTAGCTGCCGGTGCTGCTCTCCTGGAGGGAAACGGATGACGAGACGGCTGATCCGTTGGACTCGTCGGACTTCTCAGGGAGTCGTCGAACACCAGCGCACGGTTCAGCTGGCACTCGCCCAGCTTCTCCTCTGGCTGAGGCGGAGGCAGGGAAGCTGCAATGACCTGCACAACATCGGGAGCAGCAAAGCACCTTAGGACCAAATGCAGTAGCCAGCTGAAGGAAAATTCAATCATATATCAAGATCAAATTACTACTTTCTGCCCGACTAGAAGATATACATCAATTTGCAGTTCTGAAAGAGCTAGCATGCCATTGAGATTTGAGAACGGGCTAGATGCAGCTAACAATGCAAGAGACCTGACAATGCAGCATGAAAACACTCAGAAAATTCTATCATATATCAAGATTACTAGTCGACACCTACGACAGCCGACACAGGTTGGGAGAACCCATGAATCCAACTTATCATACAACGTGCAGAATTGCAACTAAACTAACATGGACGTGCACAAAGAAGGTTAACGAATAAAGATACTAGATGAAATGGTACACAAGCTTCTGCATCAGATTGACAAGAACATGCGTTCCCTGATTGAAATTGGAAATCCACTACTCAGCACAGAAAAATTGGGTCAAAACTCTACCATGCATGTCGAATTGTCGACTGTTGCTCCTCGAGGAGTGGAAGATTTCATCCATTGCTGAATCGACAAGAATCGACAATTACATTACCTGAAGCTTAGGAATCAGCAGTTCCTCTTCATCGAGGACGCAGGGAACGACGGCGGCGCCATCAAGCAGGAGGAGGCCTTCCCTGGGCGCGGAGACGGGGCCGATCTGCGGCGTGTTAGCCGGCGTGGGCGCAAGAAGCTGGGCCGGGGACCTGGAGACGCCGAGCAGCGCCTGGATGCGCGCGGGCCTGACTAGGGCGGCGGCGGCGGCGCCCTGCTCCTCCTCGACATTGTGCAGGAGCGCCTTGACCTGGCCGCGCAGGAGCGCCTCCCCGGTGCCGGGCGTGCGGCGCGGGGCCCTGCGGCGGGTCTTGGCGGGGTGGTGTCGGTGGCGTGGAGGCCGCCCGCCGCGAGGCCGACGATGGGGAGTCGTTGCTGATGTCGTGCAGGGCGGCGCGCGTCTGGACCTGGGTCTCCACCGCGGCGGCCTTCTTGACCCGGGAGAAGATGGCGGCGGAGTCCAACGCGGCGGCGGCGCTCTTCTCTGCGGAGAATCGAAAGTGGGCGTTGTCAGGAAACACATCCAAGAACGCGTCGAAACTGAAGAAGCGATCCAGCGATCAAGAAACAGAGAGGCGAGGTTGGGAGAAGAAGAGAACTCACGGGCGGATGCGGCGGCGGCGAGCGAGCGGGTGATCCTCCTGGAGGACAGCGGCGTCTCCATCGGTGGCTGCTTTCTCGTCGAGGCGGGTGAGAGGCGCGCGTCGCTGGTGGAGCGGGGGGCTCGAGGAAAGAGACGACGTGCGCGGGGAGCGGGAGAGACGGGGAAGCGGGGGTGGAGACGGCGCGGAGGAGCGCTTGGGGTGCCAGTTTTAAAGCGTTGGGATTGTGGCAGGACAACGGTAATATGACCGTTGACGAGGAGACGGCGAAGGCAGAACGGCGCTGCTGTCCCTCTCCCTCCGTACTAGCCGCTGCGTGGTTTTGTTGCTGCTGGGTTGGGCCTCCAGGCTGCAGCACCTACACGGCAACGCCGACTTGCTCTTGTGGGCAGGGCCGCTTCTTCGTTTGCGGGCCTGACTGGCCTTTTGTGTGGTGTAGACCACATTTTTTTTCCCCGGGAAAGGCCCTTTTGTGGACTTGTATAGATAGATCAAATAGAGAGGCCCACGTAAATTCAAAGGGCCACGATTGTGCTGTGCGCCTGTGCCATAGTTTTTATTTGGAAGTAACCTCCTCCAACTTTCACGAAAATCCGTTTTTTCTCCCTAAACTCGGGCAAAACACCTCCCTCAACTTTTAAAACCATTCATCTTACCTCCCTGGCCCTGTTATAGGCAGTTTTGAAAGAGGTTTTGTCTTTTTCTTTTTTATTTATTTCGGCTGAATCTTTGAAAAATCATAAAATGAAAAATCCAATTTTGTTGGATTCCACGTGAGTAGATCTATACAGTGAAAATATAATATGGTATGCTTTAGTACAAAGTTTTTGCTGTAACTTTAGATCTATGCTTTTCTGTAATTAAATGAAATAATTCATAGCTGTAGTTTCTATGGTCCAATTATGGTAAAATTTTTATGGTGGACTAATTATTGTATGCTTAAACTGTAGTAAAAATTTCATACTCATTGGATCATATATAACCTAGTTATAGATTTTATTTTGGTTTATGCTTATTAAATATAACAATTGCCAAAAAATTCAATGCAATAAAAAAATAACAGCATCATTCATATAACAAGCAAAATAACAACAATCATTGGTTCACATGTACCAAGCAAAATAATAAATCATTGATTGACAGACCAAGCAACATAGGTGCACTGCATTCATACAGCAATTGGCCCCAGTCCCCCTATCATCCAATCACCGATAGACCTTAATCAAATTTCACCAAATCTAGCAACGTCAGATTTCAGATAATTCTCAATGCGCGACTGACGGATCATTTGTTCACATCGATTCAGGCGCGGACCCAGGGCCCAGTGACCCTGAGCGCATGCCCGGGCTCCTCGTCGAGCGCCAAAAGACCTGCATAGCAATACCAGGCAAATATCAGTTAAAACCGTGAAGCATTGATGGGCACTAACTCAGAAACTCAGCCTATTATTAGCAGACAATATTATATTTTGCCCAGGTTCTAGAAAACTTCTAGGTCCCCTATTGCATCCATTTGCACAAGGCTGGCAGCTACCTGTCTAAAAAGGCATACTGATAACTGAGGAAGAGTTTATGTGAAGTTTTAAACCGCCTCTTTGGTGTCTGAAAAGAACAGGTATCATGCAGAGTGTAGCACAGTACTGTAATTTTTGGGTCTTACTTAGTGGGGCAAACATTAATTGTGTAAAACTTCCTGAAGACAGTTCTGATTAAGTGACGAGGTACTTTCAAAAAATCTCTAGTAAAAGGCATACAGATGGGTACTAACTCAGAAGCTCAGAGCCTATTACAAGGAATCTGGATGAATCTGGAGAATTTGTAAGAGCGTGAACAGTGTTTTCATCGCGCAAAGTGAAATCTGGCTGGTTTTTCAACCAGCCGAACGGCCCCATTATGTTTTGCCCAGGCTCTAGAAAACTTCTGGGTCCGCTACTGCATCCATTTGCACAAGATGCACGTGCAAACCATCAACTTTGCCGCTGACAAGCTGTCTCAAAAAATTGCGCATGTAATAATCAGCTGGAACTGTGTGTTGTTGCAACAATTTCAGAGTTTGAGAATTCGGACATGGTCTTCAAGATAATCACTTAGCACAAAATAATTAAAATTTCGAGAAAATAGTGCCAGTCAACAAGTAACCTTCTGTAAGTACAGAGAAAAATTAGAAAGAGAAGAATGTTCATGTGCAAAGTTAGAACCATTGCGTTGAGTAGCTTCCAGAACCAAACCACATTCATCAGTGCCCATTAGAAGAATCCTAAGGTGAAGGTGGACTTCTCCTGTGAAACAAGGATGGGAAAATCATTAGAAGTTGAAAAGGAATGCCAGTAGAATGGCAACGTAAATGGAAATCAATCACACTTTTTTGTCATGAATGCACCCAAGGTTATTTCTAACCAAAAAGGAAAACTGCATGCTGCTACAAGAGAAGCAACATCATCTAGAGACTAGAGCTAACTTTTTTTGCAGCTGTTGTGTGAAGTCTTGCAGGTACAACAGAAACATAGTTTCTGTGACAAGCCATAATTGATTAACCATTCTGTCGAAGCAATTTTGCAATTACAATTTTCTTCAGCAACACAAAATCAAAGGCTTATCGAAAGCCCCTAAAGAATTACAGCTTCCTGATATTTCAGTTTGATTTAAGGTTATGCACTTTCGTAATTTTTATATAGAACATTAAGGAGCTACCTTTAGCATTAATAGAAAAAATGCTGATCACACAGATCTCACTCTAAAAAATTCGTTAAGAATTAAAGAATGCACAGGTTAATTGGTAATAGTGTGGTAATAAAAATTATTTTGTAGTTAACATATTTTACAGAAATAGAACACTTCTGATATTTTTCATGTTCATTTGTTCTAAAAGATCTGCAAAGTTCAAATGGATTGTTTTTCAAATAGAGTGAGAAATAAAGTTGAAAAAAAATAGTGTCCTGATAATCCTTAAGACAATCAGCAACTCAAATGGGTCAAGACGTTGGTGATTCAGACATGGAACAAAGTATGAATTGTCTTATGACCCTTTTAACTCTGTACAGCATCAGCCAAAAAGGAATTTGAGCTCAAGTAGAATTAGATCATAAGAGGCAATATTTAAAAATAAAAGAAAATAACAATGGTTAGACGGACTAATTTTTTGAAAAACTGTTAGACGGACTAAATCATTCATCTGAAGGAGTTGTTACAACAAATAAGGGGAAAAACTCTCACCATATATCAAAATATGAGTACCGTTATCTTAATTCAGCTAACAACCGTACAACAGCTCCGCAGATGCTATTCATTCAGTTTTCACTAAGAAAGTTCTTAAAAGGTACTCCCTCCATCCCAAATTATAAGTCATTCCAAGAATTTTGGAGAGTCAAATTTTTTCAAGTTTGACTAAAATTATAGAGAGAAACACAAAGATTGATGACATCAAATAGATATAATATGAAAATATAACTAATGAAGAATCTAATGATACTTACTTGTATGATAAATATTATTATTTTGTTATATAAATTTGGTCAAACTTGAAAAACTTTGACTCTCCAAAATTTTTGGAATGACTTACAATTTGGGATGGAGGGAGTATATACTAATAAATGAACCTTGAGTCCTGAAACACTAGCATTTGGGAGGCTCTCCAAAGCACTTGGGTTGAAGGTGTTCTCTGGCACAAGGCCTCCGCAGGACCCTATATTAGCAAACCACAGAACCTTGGCTGAATCCAAAAGCTGGTCTCGCCTATGCATTGCTTCTTGTATTACGACTTGGTCAAAAGAAATTCAACAGCCCGCAAAGCAAGCAGAAACTTGAGACTGATATAGCTGAAGTTACGTAAAAAAATAACAGCCAGGAAAACAAGCAGAAAAATGTGACTGACATAACTTCAGTTACGTAAAACTTATGTCTTACACCGGCAAAAGAAAAACCTAGCGGAGGCTACCCACTAACTGGCTAGTTATTCGACATATAGAATGTTTGACACAAACTTAAGCTAACGCTTATCGACAAAATATAAGACCACAAATAAACTAGTATGCAACAGCCAGCAGGTTGTCGGTAGCTCCATTAACGACGCAATAAGATTAGTGCCTCTCGCCACGGATCCTGGTAGCCAGATGAACATCTTTGGGCATGATGGTGACCCGCTTGGCATGGATGGCACACAGGTTGGTGTCCTCGAAGAGACCCACGAGATACGCCTCTTCAGCCTCCTGCAGAGCAAGCATCGCATGGCTCTGGAAACGCAGGTCACTCTGCAATGCATACATGTAGCCATGCATGAAGTTGCATTCAGATATTACAAATGTTTCGAAAGAAAAAACCCAAGGAAAAATTGCAGGTCGTGCATGTGGTGATGAAATTAGCAACCATACCTTGTGAAGCTGGGCAATCTCCCTGACGACCCTCTGGAAGGGCATCTTCCTGATGAGCAGCTCGGCGCCCTTCTGATACTTGCGAATTTCACTGGAAGAAAATAAATGTGACGTTCAGATTCAGTTGTGAGTTGTGACACGGTTACTTGCATGAAAATTACAGCCGTACAATTGAATTTGAATTGATAACAAAGCGGAATAAAATCAGCCAGCTATGTTGCACTTGCACATACCGAAGAGCTACGGAACGGCGAGGCTTCTTCACTCCTCCGGTCATTGGCGCTGTCTTGCGAGCAGCAACCTATAAATGATCGCCAAACCATACTAGTGTTATAACACGTTTCAACACGCAAGTACTGATGATACTTATCATGCAAAATTTTACATATATTATACGTACAAAGATACTTCGAACGAGTTGCTTCCTTGGTGCCTTTCCTCGGGTTGACTTACGCGCCGTACACTTAAGGCCCCTTTGGCACGGCTCATCTAAAACGGCTTCACCGGTGAAGCCAAAGTCGGTGAAGCCAGAAAAACTGACTTTTCTCGGCTTCTAGTTCATTTTAACCCTGGCTTACAAAATAGCTTCACGCTATAGTGCCTCGATTTACGCAAAATAGATGAAGCCGAAGCCGGCATAAACCGTGCCAAAGAGGCCCTTAGTACGAGCCATCTTGTAAATAGATGATTGATCAT